GCAGGGTTGGGCAAAATAAATATATTTTGCAATTTCATTTACAAAAGTTTATCGTTGAGAGCTCCGAGATACGGACAACGGGACTACGACTGCGATTACAAATAGGTAAAGGCGGGTCAGGGACGATGAGAAAAAAAAACACAAATATGAAATCCCAACTATAGACAGGTCCATGCATTAAATACCCTACCCTGATCCATCGAGAGTTTTAGACATATACATACGTAGAGCTTCGTTTAATAGTAGCATTTCCGAGCTTTTTTAAAAAGAGTTAAAGAAGCGTCAAACGAAAAATTAATGGGCATTTGTTCCTCATGCAGTATCTACAAGCCGACTGACAAAGAGATATCTCTGATACTGGAGAAACTGCCTACAAAAATATTACAACTCGATTGAAAAGGGCAAGCAAAACGAATGAAAGAATAACTAATGGCATCAAAGAAGAAAATCAAATATTGCTCAAGTGCCACTGGCAGCTCAACCAACAACAACAAGCAGATTACCGTGGAAAACCGTGTAAGAAAACATGCAGATGGTCCATGCAAAGTTTTTGGCCAACGACAGACCGCAATGCTGGCAGTGCCACAGAGTCGCAGAGGCACTCGCGATTTGTGATGAGATTTACGAAGGAGCTGAGCAGGGGGTCTAGGGCTCTGTGGGTGGACGGATGGATAAGTGGGTGGATGAGTGGGGATGGGATGGGATAGCTGGGTAGAGAGCAAACAGGGAATAAGTTTATATGATTTTGATGAATTTCCGTGGCAACGACGCCAAAGGGAAAGAGCTCTGAGCCCGATAAGTAGCAGTAGGATTTTGCTGCTGCTCTCAATATCCGCGGTCAAGGGATGTTCCGTTTTCGTTCCTGGATTTGGCTGTGGCTCTCTGCTTACCTGTCTGGAGTTTAATATTAAAAATTGCAGTGCGCTGAAAGAAATGAAAAATACTCTGGAGACGAGGTGAAGTTGCTGGCACTGCCACTGGAAAGTAATTTCCTGCAATTTAACCTAAAGAAAAATAAGGAAGCGTCTTTGATTTCCGCGTGAAATGATGTGCGTCTTGCCCTCCCCGATTACAACCAGAAGCTACCCACTGATGCTGCCAGCTCGCAACGGTGTGGAGAAAAGCGGAAAGCGGAAACGGGAGACCAGAGCAATGTCCTACTCCAGAGACGTACCACAAAAAATTTAATAAGAATTAAAGTTGATTCAATTTATTATTAGCCTCGGCTTATTTGATAACAGCTCAAAATTGCATTTTACAGATGCTGTCGTCGCTGCTGGCAATCGAATAAATCGAGAGTTCTGCTAATAGTCAAGTTCCGTTTGATCGAACTTAAAATTTAAGCTTGGGTGGGGTGTCGCCTTTTGGTGGGTACATCACACTTCATCACAGTATCACACTATCCTCTAAGGTATCAATTGAAAAAGGTTGTTCAAAGAATTTCTTCAGAAAATATGTATGCTACCATAATCTTTTGCACACCATGCATCCAATATATCCACCTATGTACCTATGTATGTACAATCTAAAATCCAAACCCACTGTAAATATATTACAAAGTCCTAGCAACATATTGCTGGCAACATGATGCTGGCAACATCAATATGTTGCCAAAGTCCTAGCATCATGCTGCTGGCAACATGAGGCTGGAAACGTCCATATGTTTCCAAAGTCCTAGCAGCATATTGCTGGCAACGTCAATATGTTGCTGGCAACATCAATCATTTGCCAAAGTTGCAAGCAACATCTTGCTGGCAACATCAATCTGTTGCCAAAGTCCTAGCAACATTTTGCTGCCAACAATACAAAACAAATCCTAACAAAATGTTTCTGGCAACATCAATATGTTGGCAAAGTCCTAGCAGCATGCTGTTGGCAACATCTGGCTGGCAACATCAATATTTGGCCAAAGTCCTAGCAACATGCTGCTGGCAAAATACAAAAAAAATCCTAACAAAATGTTTCTGGCAAAATCAATATGTTGCCAAAGTCCTAGCAACATGTTGTTGGCAACATCTGGCTGGCAACATCAATATTTTGCCAAAGTCCTAGCAACATGATCCTGGCAACACGTTGCTGGCAACATCAATATGTTGCCAAAGTCCTAGCAGCATGCTGCCAAAGTCCTAGCAGCATGATGCTGGCAAAATGATGCCAAATTCCTAGCAGCATGATGCTGGCAAAATGTTGCCAAATTCCTAGCAACATGCTGCAACTGGTGTGCTTGTGTCTAATTTTGTTCGTGTTAGTTTTACATATGTATGTACATATATTGTTTGTGTTTAAGACGCGTTTCGTATTGGTTCGTATTGTTTCGTATTCATTATTGTCAACATCAATAAAACTTTGTAGATGTTCGTATTTACATACATATATGTATATATATATATACTTTTTATACCCGTACTAAAAAAAGAGTTAAGGGGTATATTAGATTTGTGGTAAAAGTGGATGTGTGCAACGCAGAGAAGGAAACGTTTCCGACCCCATAAAGTATATATATTCTTGATCAGCATCAATAGCCGAGTCTATATAGCCATGTCCGTCTGTCCGTCTGTCCGTCCGTCTGTCCGTCTGTCCGTCTGTCCGTCCGTCCGTCTTGATGAGCGCCTGGATCTCAGAGACTATAAGAGCTAGAGAAACCAAATTTGGTTTCCAGACTCATGTGATATCACACTGCTACAAGTGTATTTCAAAATTTCGCCCCGCCCCCTTCCGCCCACACAAAGGACGAAAATCTGTGGCAGGCACAGTTTTAAAGATACGATAAAACTAAAAACGCAGTATCGTAGAGAATGCCCATATCTACCAGATTGCCGAATCTGAATTAGATCGGATCATAATTATAGCCAGAATGATGAAATTCATTTTCAGTTGCTTCCCCTCCCCCTCCCGCTTCCAACAACGCAACTCATTTTCCTTCTCGCTCGCACACTCTGCCGCGTTCAGTGCGCGAGCAACCCCTAGCGGAGGAGATGTAGAATCTAAATGGTACATGTACAATCTACATGTTAGATGTAGAATAGACATTGTAGATGAGATGTAGATAACAAATGTAGCAAAAAAATTTAAAATGTAAAATTTTTTTTTTAAATTCTAAAATTCTAAAAAATCATGCTCAAAAATGCATATACTGACTGAGTACGGGTATAAGTAGAGTCGCGTCCCCAGAAGCGACTCACACGTTCCTTCTCGTTTACTTTTATATATATATATATATATATATATATATATTGTACATAGAGATATATACATGTATATATGTATATTAGTGGCTTAGCTATTGTCCATATTTACATTAAACATAGTATATGTAGATGTTTAAATTTTTTTGCTACATCTATTATCTACATCTACATATACTTTGTATATTCTACATATATGGGCATTCTGGTAGATATGGGCATTCTCTACGATACTGCGTTTTTAGTTTTATCGTATCTTTAAAAATGTGCCTGCCACAGATTTTCGTCCTTTGGGGTCGCAGAAGGGGGCGCGGGGAAAATTTTGAAAAACACTTGTAGCAGTGTGATATCACATGAGTCTGGAAACCAAATTTGGTTGCCCTAGCTCTTATAGTCTCTAAAATCTAGGCGCTCAACAAGACGGACAGACAGACATGGCTATATCGACTCGGCTTTTGATGCTGATCAAGAATATATATTTATGGGGTCGGAAACGTTTCCTTCTCTACGTTACACACATCCACTTTTACCACAAATCTAATATACCCCTTAACTCTTGTTTGAGTACAGGTATAAAGAGTCATTAATTTCTTGACCACCTTTCCGAATGGAATTTTTGTGAAATGTTAGTTCTCTAGCGTAGTAGTAGAACCCTGCGCACTCAAACGTTTGCTTCACTTTTCTTTTTTGGTCACATTTCGAAAAAGTTTGCAGAAGGAACATATCGCCCAAATGGCCGCGACACCATATGAACTGCCTGAGGACAGTAAATTTAAAGACTCCGAGCAGCAATCGGGAGTGGTTGGTTGTTGCCGGCGGTATCGGCCACGTGGCGTGCGGAGTATTTACCGCCATGTACATAGTTTGCAAGTCTTCGCGGCGACACCTTCAGGAATAGCCACCAGACAAAGATAGGGCCACAGCCAGGATAGACCAGGCCCAGACCAGACCATGGCCAGACCATAGCAGACTAGTCCGTGGAGGATCCACTCGACATAGCCACTAACAACAACTAAAAGTGTTTGCGTTGGTCGCCTAAAGCGGCCCAAACAAATTTTCCTCTTCTTTTGTCGTACTTTTTGTCGTACATTTGTTGTGTGAGCCGACCCCATCCGCCATTTCAACCAAACAGTTTTTTCGTACAATGTCAGCCCTAGTTCTGGTCCCGGTCCTGCATTTGTCCCTGTCCTAATGTGGACCCGACTGATTCAAGTTTCCTGCTGCCTCTCCTCTTTATTCTTTCTTATTTCATCGCTTCAGACTTTTTTTGTTTTGTGTGCATTTTTTGTTTTGTTTTGTTTTGCTCACTTGTTGGCTACTATTTTATGCACATCGATTTTCGCTCAGTGCATTTTATTTGCTATCCTACGGAGCAGCGTAGAACGAACACTGGACGAGGCCGCAGGAAGGTGAGACTGTACATTGGAGTTGTTTGTTTAGCACTGTTTGTTTATGTGCCGTAACTGAACGGAAGAAGAGGGGCTTTAACTTTTTAAAGCGTCATTTAGCGATGTTCTGAAGTCGAGCACAGCTCTGGGAGTGGTAGCAATGGGCATCTGAAAGCATGCACTCACTTCAGCATTCCCTGCACTTGGTATTGAATTAAATTATGCAATTAGTAAAATATTTAAAATATATCATATAATATAAATATGTATACTCTGAAACTCTCTAATAATTATAATATACATATAATAGAATTATTTCACATTTAATTACATTGTTTACTCTTTCTTTAATAGCAGCAGCAGTAACGGCTCTGACTGACTGCGATTGCGATCTTCGGCAGAGGCAATTAATAAAACTATTCCTGCGGCGGGTAATAAAGTTTGTCAAGTTGCGCACATCATAATAACAGCGACCCACCCAGTCCCCTTGTAGCAGTAGTTGCAGTCGAGGGCCTCCGTTGAAGTTGACGTTTTGCAAGTGGCAGATGGTGGATGGTTCGCCAACGCTTCGAGTACGGCGACAAATCGTGCAACAAAGTCAAATGCACTTTGCCTCGGCCAAGAGCACTCTGCAGAGTGGGGATGCTGATGTGGATGGGAATGGGAACGGGTATGGGAATACATGTGTATATGTGATGAATCATTTTGCAATATTGCATATTGTGCGTCGCACTTAAATTCAATTAAGCTACAAAGGCAGTTGCATAATACAAGGCAACGCCATGTCCCATCGCCTGGCGCACACATGGGAGCCAGGACCACAGGCGTCCAATCACCCATCAGCCTCCCAGTCCTGTCCACAGACAGGGGACCGAATGTCGACGATGGCGATGGCGATTTCGATGTCGAGAGTGGAGTACCGCTGGCTACACTTTATAGCAGTGCCCTTCATGCGCTTATTCAATGATTCATGCACCAATTCGCTGAACCATTCAAGCTGGCACTCATTCAGTCATTTCCAGCTCTGGCGGGTAAATACTAGAAGCTGCAACATATGTACAGCATATACATTAAAAATATGTTTATGTAAAATGATACATTTATGGTTAATATTTAGACTTACGTAAGATTAGCGCCTTCATCAAGAATAACGCACGCAAGAATGCGCACGCTGGATATAAGCTGTATATAAAGCTTGAAGAATGAAGATAATCGGCTGGGTGTACTGGCAGATGTTGGTTGATGTGGAGGACAGTCTGCTTCCAGTGCGTGGTCGGATGCCATGGACTGGTGTTGACGACCATCGCTTTGGTACCAGCAGGAAAGGAAAAGTCGAAATGTACGGCAAACACTGCCAGAGCAGCCTGACACATATCCAGCCCGGCGAATCTCGCCCACTTATATTTTGGCTTTTCACTAGACAGGCCATTCAGAGCAGAAAATGGAACTTACAACTGAATAACAGAAACGAGTTTGGACTTACCACATCCACTTCAATATTATGACATCGACTAGGGGTAGCTCCAGTTCCTCAATGCTGCATAACTTCGATCACATGATCGAGGTGATTCTCACGCACCACATGTCTGGCGCAAGAGTCCACGGAAAATACGCGAGCAGCTCCCTGCTGGACTACCCACATGGAGAGAATGGCAATGATACAGCCCACCTCGAGCACAGTGGTTCCTTGGAAGAGAAAATCATTCTGCTCATCCTTAATGGCATATCGGAAGGCCGTCATAAGGACTTCGTCTTGGAGCTACAACAACAACAGCAACAAATTACTTTTCGACCAACAATAAAACATGGAAGAAACCCAGAAACAAACAGCAAAAGCCAACAAGAAATCACAAAGCATATTGCATGCAAAAGTTTTTAAGGTTTGTCATCAAATGACGTTTTGCGGATTCCTTTTCTGGGGACGCACCACACGAACTTAATGTTTACTCTGGATAATAAAGGACAAATTGCGCTCCCTGCGGTTATTATCGTAGATCGTCCTTGGCATTTGTCGGTCAAAAGGCACTCTTCAACGCTTCTTTGCTCCAATTGGGATGCAAGTGCTTATCTAGCTGTACCCCTTTTAAGCACGAACCCATGGATGCTGCCACAAAGGTGAGTAAGTTGAGGTTCGGGAGTTTTATTATAAATCCGGGCCAGGAATGCTTTGCACAGATGTACAGAACTCGCCTCGGCATATTTTGCATCTCATCTGATGCTTCTTTCTTTCCAGCTCCTGCTCATGCTCCTTCTGATGCCAATGCTGTTGATGCTCTGCAGAACTAATTCCATTAAAGCAAGCTCTAACTTGATTTTCAATTGACTCCCCATTTGCTCGGACGGGAATGGAAGGTGGTGCTGGCTGCTGGTTGTTGAGGCCGGCTGGTTCTCTCTTTCAGCAATCAACATGTTCAATTGAGCATATCCTGTCGGGTACAGGACACAGCCAGAGCAGCGCAATGTGATTACCCGACGCTATTCTGTACTCACACGAGACCAGCACTCGCATCCGTATCCGTATTCTGCATCCAGTCCACAGCAACAGGAGAAGGACCCAGAGCAGGACCACGACCTGGGAAGAACCCGGACCAATGCTGGAACAGTACAAGGACACGTAACGGAGGAGGTCAGGCAGGCGCCTGCCCGTTGGCTCCCTTTTTACATTTCATTGGATTTTATGCGTTTCACTTTATGCTGATGTTTTTATTATTACATTTTCTTGAACTTTCATTTACATTTTCTGGATTTCTTAGAGCTCGTCTTCGCCTGGTCGTTAGTGTTGTTGCCCCCGATGCTGGTGTTGATGTTGATGAGTCCTCTTCATTTTCACACTTTTCATTCAATTTATTGCATTCCGCAAATTGAGTGTCGTTTTCCTTAGATATACTCTGCTCGTTCCCACACTTTCTAACTTACCAAAAGCGTGAAAAATACGAAGCCCAATTTAATTCCAAATCTAAATGAACTTAAATTGTGTACAAAGGAGAGAGGGAAGATATATTTCCTGCAACCCACAGAAATGAAATGATGTACGAACTTCAATATTCAAGCAGCATATACACCATCTGTCTCCGTGTTGTACATACATATGTCTGCCCAGCAAAAGCAGTGCTGCAAGTACGAGTTGGAATAGGTGTACCCATATTTCGAGCAGCGAATTTGAGAGTTAAGATCCTGTTCGGTGGACAGGGCCTCGTACACGGATCCGTCACCTCAAATCATGTGCCAAGACGTGTGGGCCGTTGGGATAACAAGGCGGAAAACTCAATGATATATTGACCGAAGCAACCACTGTACATAGTTTCCCTGTTCTGTCAACCGGAAATTTAGTTATCTCCTGAATGTATACGAATTACGTATACTCGTAAGAACATGTTTGTATATACGTTATACGCTTTGTATTCAAATAATAGACACATCATATTTTTGAAATAGTATAAACAAAATTAAAGAGAAACAAAAACAATAGAATTCGATTTTCATCAGACAGCATGTCTTTCCTTCGGCGCATTACATCCAAACCAGACATAGCTACAACCTCAACCTCAAATTCAACATATTCATCACCAAATTCCGCTGCAATCCCAACCCCAACCGCAAATACAGAAACAACCGCTTCTCCTCGAACAGTGGTTGAGGGTTCCTGCGACACACTGGATACCTTGGACGGCGATAACGCTCCGAGCACCAGCGGTCAACGGAGGAGATCCACTCCACTGGGAGCAGACTCTGCCACTCCGGTAAGCACCTGTGCGTTCCGGGTGCGACGAGAGCTGAATGAGATCCGCAAGAATCCGCCGCCTAATTGCAGTGCCGATCTGTGCATGGACAGGCTGCTCCATTGGACGGCAACCGTGATCGGTCCCGCCGGTTCCGTCTACGAGGGCGGCCACTTCAAGCTAGACATCCGCTTTCCCCTGAACTATCCCTTCCGGCCGCCGCGTATCCGCTTCACGACTTTCATCTACCATTGCAACGTGGACAGCGTGGGGGTCATCTGTCTGGATGTGCTAAATGAGCGCTGGTCGCCGGTGATGAATGTAGCCAAAGTGCTGCTCTCGATCTGGCTGCTGCTGGGAGAGTGTAATCCAGAGGACCCGCTGGTGATGTGCATTGCCGATCAGTACAAGACCAATCGCCTGGAGCACGACAGGGTCGCTCGCTTTTGGACCAAGCGCTTTGCCATGCCTAAAGAGGCCCAGGAGTCCAAGGATTCAAAGAACACAAAGGACCCGAACGAGCCAAAGGAGTTTGCGAAGCAAAAGGATACAGATAAGCAAAACAATCCTGGGGAGCCCATGTAAAGGATGTAACCGAAGAATGACCAGAGGAGATTTGTCCAAGCATCACGGAGCGAAGTTCCGTCCTACCTAAAAACAACTTCAGATCCTGCTGTCTTTGCGGTCAATAAACCATTTCGATATCAATATGTAATAACACAATACCAAGATGATGCATGAGGAGCAAAAGCTCGTTCAATCTTCGTATACGCTTCAGGGTACGGGCGCGCGGGGTATTTCTCCCATTCTCCTTTAGGCTAGTCTTTGCCTATGCTTTCGGCTTCGTCAATGCCTCGGCCCGCGTCAAGTCGAGCGACAGAATACAGTAACAAAATATGAAGTCTGAAGACGAGAATATGTCCAGGGCCGGATCAGCCCTGAGGTAGTTGCCAAGGGCCCCGCCTAGGGCGGATAGAAACATTTGTTGAAAAAACAAAACTCCAAATAATGTATAAAAAATATAATAGGCACTGAGAAACATAAAACATAATCAAACAAACATAAAATGTATATGTTTTTATATTAAATGAAAATTGATGGGAACTTGACTGAAAAAAGGGAGGATCCCCGGATTGATGGGCCGGTCCTGAACAGGTCGGAAGAATGCAAAAACGACTACATTGCTTGGCATGAGTCAGCACATTGATACCGTTATTTGTTTGTATTTTGTGTATTCACAGCTGGTACTCAGCCGAAAAGAGGTGGCAAAAGACAAAAATATTTTATGAACGCTTTGAATAGATTTGAATAGAAAATTTTCCAGAGTTTAAGCGAATCTAATTTTCAAAATAATTTTAGTTTAGGAGATATGAGCACTCAAAGTTGAAAATGGTTTCAGTGTGAAACAATTTATTTAACTCTTATTGGTTTTAAAATTAGGCAAGCTATTCCCACTGTGCGCTGCTGCGCTTTGTCGAACATTCTCTCTGACGAACAGACGATGCTGTTGGGCAGCGGGGTCGCGGACAGAGACTTAATCGAAAAAAAATTTAAACCCCGCGCGCTCCCTCTGACAATGCTCAGGTTTTCGAAAATCACAAGATTTAATGAGCTCGCGATTTATTGCACATATGTATGTACATAGCACTTAAATAAAAATAACAACAACTGCGCTGATGTTTTAAGTTTATATTTATATAAATAAAAAACATTTTCGTATTTCCCAATATATTTAATACATTTATTTCTATATCTGTCCCCCCAATTTAACCTCACCAAAGTAAGCCTAAGCACTAACCAGGGAAAAAATGTCGTCTGTTCTTAATTCACCGATTTTTTGTTTGGGTAAAATATAATGCGATTGCCAAGACGATATCGCAAAACCATTTGAGAAAGAAAAACTTTCGTTAGGAAAAAGTTACGAAAACTGGAGCGCACACAATTTCAATTTGTACGAATTCGTATTAATTGTTCAAAAATCGTAATCGCAAAAACTTACGAAAACCGGAGCACAAAGGATAGAACAGATTTTTGGTCGCTCATACAGCATCTTGGTGTTGTATAGTCTTTGGTAATATGCAATAATCCTATCGAGAGCTTCTAGGTACATCTTGAACTCAAGGCAACCCACTAACCCACTCTATGGGTTGCAGCCTCGGTCCCAGCCCCGTTTCGCTGTACCACTGTTCAGGTCTGACTCGCTAAGATAGCCACGCGGTCCTTTGGACGCTCATGTCCATGAATATTCATGAGCTTCCAAAAAATGAACCCTGCCAGAGGCGTGGGCGTTGGAAAAACAACACAGAACAGAGGACGGAAAACGGGAGGGGCAGATGGCATTGAAAAATTAATAGGAGCGCGAACGAACGTAGGATGCGGAGATGGCTGGGGATGGTTGGAAAACCACTTCCCAAGCTAGCAAGACCAAGTCTAGTATAGTCAAGAAATCCGACTATATGACACTCTTTCTAGACACCTTCCTTCCAATCCAGGAGATCCAAAGTTACCCATGATTTTCGCCATTCAAGAAGTATCCGATCCCAATTCTTTTTCTGTTTTACCAATGGCTATATTAAACTATATATTTCTATTACTTGAGCATACTTTAAGATGGAACTTTTTTTCAGGAGAATGTACAGTAGTGTTCTACTTTGAATCCTGTTGCAAATGTTTACAATGTAGATATACATATGCAGATATCCATAAAATCCGAGTACATATACCTTTGTTTTTTCGCTTGCCAAGTATCTAGATAGAAACTCCTTAACCCATCTGTTCAATGGGATTGTCATGGATTGAGGTTTGAGGTAAGTTTCCTTTCTGACGAAAACTTTAATCCGACATTCCGCCAGTAAAGTAATGTACTTCTGGCTGCAAGGGGTGAACGATTGAACTGAACGAGTGGGGATGGAAAGAAAAGCAATTTTCTGGCTGACAATGTCATCAAAGTTGCGAGAGAACCTTTCAATATCCCATGCTTCAGGCCCATCACCATCGCCATCCCCATTCCCCATCTGGCATCTCCACCCATTCCCTGTCTGTCGCTCTGTTGCTCGCCCCAACAAGTCAAACGATAATGAACTTAAAGAAATTAATTAAAGTGGCAAGCAGAGTCACCCACATACTCGTACGAGTACATACATATGTGTAGACTGTACAGCTTAACGCCCGGCTCCAATGCCTTTATTGAAAACGACATCCGGGCTGGACATCACCTTCACCCGGTGACGTCCACGGCGATGGCGACGGCAGCGGATCGTATGACTCTGCCAAAGTAAATGCAATAAAAGCAAGTTTCTCTATGCTACGACTGTGACATGGGTGCTACGAAAAGACCGTTAAAAATAAGTGTAAGGGTGCCTGGCCCAGGACCGGATCGATACGACTGGGAAATGCTCTGAACTCATCAGCGGGCAATCCCGGAGGTGGTGAACCACAAAAGTGACCGTCTGTGACTGTGGTTCATTCCCCATTCGACAGACTCAAATATCCGGCAGCCTCCAGAGGACGCTGCCACACGCAATAGAAGGTGCCGTGTGGTGACAGTGGCTTACTGGAGCTGCACTCCCTGGGCCGTCGCTTCATTCGCACCCGGGCTAATCGCGTAGTCGGTCCGAGTTAATGCCATTTGCCAGCAAACAGGCAAATAACTTGGACATTCCATCAAATCCTGGCGCTGGTTTTGGAGAGGAAAGGAAAAGCAGGTTTCTCGGTTCCGGGGATATAGCTGGAGGGGCAGCTCGATTTGGTGTATGACCAGCATTGGGATTGGGCCCGGTAGCTAACGTGGATAATCAGATTGGGTAGATTGTCGCCGCTCCATGGAGTTGTTAGCTGGACATTTGCCTGCAGCGGAAACGATTTGGTGTCGGATGCGAACGGACTGTAGACTGTGTTTAGTGCACTGCCCAAACATTTCTCATTTGCTTCGATTGCAATTGGATTGATTTTGGCTTGGTTTTGGACAAAGTCAATTAGGGTGACCATTACGGGGAGAACGACTTACTTTGGGTCTGCTGGGGTGACCGTGACCCTAGGTTAAAAATGCGACCGTCCATGGTACCAGACGTATTGAGTTTTATTGAAATACAAAAGCAATTGTCCCATTTTCCATTTTTCAAGTACTACTCGCACGAGTATCCCTTCCTGTGTCGCTCTTCCATTTTGCGGATATGCCCGTCAACTGGTGAGGGTCTCATGTGTCACATGGCAATAAATATTGCCGCATGTTAAATGTTTTGCTCGCCTCATGGCCGTGTCCGTGGATGCCCGCATCAGGTCCACGGCCAGGGCCCCTCGCCGAAATTGCAGAAAATTACCAAATGAGCCTGAGAAGTGTCCGGCTGATGAGCTTCGGTGTGGAGTGGAGCATCCAAAAGCCCAACCGGACTTAATACTCCTGTCGAGAGGCCGAGGCAGCCTCTTTTCGATTGAATTCCGTGTCAAACGGTTTCTGCACTCTCAGCTTTTATTGAATTCCATTACAGTTTCATGTCCATCAGAGGAGCCAGCCTCCGTCATTGGAACGTCATCATAAAAGCTGCCTACTTTGCCCTGGCCGTGGACCCAGGAGACGAGAGCCTGTCCAGGATGGTAAAGGACAGGGTGGGCCTTGGCTTGTTTGCCTTTTTGGGGAGCAACATAATGAAGAAACACGGAAATGAAGTGGCTGCAAATCGATACACTCACCAATTGCTTTTATCAACGTTATTAAAAAAATTGTTTTAGATCCCAGACACATTATTCAATCTCATGCCCACCGCTGCCGCGGTGTGGTCTGCCAATCAGTTGAGAGCGTGAGAGTACAAACTTTTTCTTACACTGTAAAATATAAATCGAAAACATTTTGTGCTTCAAAATGTTTGGTAACTAAATTAAAGTAATTTTTGCAATTTCCATGTTAGTGGATCGTTCTTTTTGCTCGTCGTTCATTTTTGTTCGTTGGGTCTTGCTCCTTAGTTCGTTTTTTTGCTATTTTTGTTCTGGTATCGAAAATAAAATGATTTTAATTGTAAATCTTATTGAAATAAATAAATCGAATTCTGATAGAAATTACGAATAACATAAGCGAACTATTAACAAAAAATAACCAACTAAGAACGACTTAGTCCCAGAATAAAATTAAGTAAATTGAACGATGTTTATTCAACAACACTATTGTGTTCCGCTCCCAATATATTATTGACAACATTTTGCCATCCCAAATTCCATTCCATATTCCGTTTACCGATAGACACCTGACAAATTTCTGCAATACATTCACAAAGTGCAAGTACAACTTTTGACTTAAAAAAAGGAAAATTAAGAAAAATGTCGAATGTTTCGGATATTTATGCGGTTTCTCATCTGGATGGGAGCGCCAGCGAGGGTGCTGACAATGAGGAGGAGTTTTACGAGTACTACGATCTGTGGGTGCGCTATCTCCTTGGGGCCAGAGCCAACCTCAAGGACCGTACTCTAACATTGGCCATCTATCACCAAACACCCATCTGGAAGGCGACACGCTTCCGATTCGTCGTGTGCCACGCGTCGCCGACCGGCAATATGCAAGTCGCTCTGATCAGCGTCGGGGACATTGTACTGGTTTACGATGGCCTTGACCAGAGCGTGCCTTTCGAGGTTCAGGAGCACATCACTTGATTGCACAGCATGCAATCTTCGACCAATACCAGTAACAGAGCCATGCGGTTCCTAATCTTGGTCCTTGGCCGAAAGTCCGCGAGTACTTTGTCAGCTTTTAACGCAACTTCAGTGTGGAGTGAATCAGCGACTAGAGCGAGTATTTCTGAGAGTTCCTTCTGAGAGAGATTCAACTGAAATATTGCTTAGCTTATATTTTAGAGCTTCTCCTGTTTCCCAATCAAAGGCCAATTAGTTCGAAATCATAGGAATTCAGAACTTTTATCTCCAGACTCAGCTCTGATTGTGGGAGGGGGAAATGGGTTGCCTCTGCTCTCATTGTTCTCATGAGAGGAAGAATGGAGCTCCAGCAATCTCCAGACTGGATTATGAAATGCGGCTGCTCGACTCAAAGGCTTCAAAATTCCAGTGTACTAAATGGTGGATACAAGCCTGGAATAGCTGTCGTTTGCTTCAATGCAGTCGTCCGACCTCAACAAAGGAAAATTAGTTTCGTCAACCGACTGCAACGGAAGAATGTTCTAGGGCTTCCCCAAAAACCCCAAGCCAGAGACACAATCGAGTTGGCGAAAGCAAAGCCAGTCAGCAGCTAAAGCTAACCTGACCCTCAGAGGCTAGCGAGTCTCAATTAATTCAAGATATTGTCACAGAAACTCAATCGTTGATGAAGCCGGAGATGCAGTTGGAGATGGAGCTGGAGCTGAAGCTGAGACTGGAATTGAGCATGAAGCTGATTCTGTGGCTGAATTGCTATGGTGCCATTAAAGGGACAGGGAATTGGCTTTGTGTTACGGCTGATGCCTAGGCATTTAGAGCTCTTCACTTGTTGGTACTCTCGAAATTTAATTAAGCCAGGGGACGCCGGGCTGCAAGGACTGGGATTGGGACTGGGAATTCCACTGTGACTAGAGTCTTGGAGTCTTGAAATGTGGGGTCTGGTAATGTGCTCCTTTCCATCTAAATATTATTTTACACACTGCCTTAACTGTAACTTGTGCATGCCCCATCATAACAATAATCGTCACATTGCCGCCAGGCAGCAACTGTTTCTTTAAAAGAGAAACAAACCGAGAGGAAAATCGTAAGAAAATCGCAGGCGATGGATGTTAGGGATGCCACGCATGAGGGTGCGGGGTATGTTGTTTTATGCGTATGATATTTTGCCAGTACAAAAGTAATGGTTTCTATGAGAAAGCCAGAAAGAGGCAAGAAGCTGCTGCTGTAGCCGAAAGAAAAATGAGAATCCTTTGCTCGTTTTCTTTTCAGTTATGCCCGCACAACTTCCCAGGGAGGAGGAAGTGGTTGCTGGAGAGGGGGATGGGAATGGGGATGGGAAGGGCATGGGATGCACTTGCTCTTTTAGTTAAATGTTTGAAAAGAAAAATTAAAAACTTTTTACAACACACACAACATGCGCGGGCTCTGCCGCCATAATATCCTGTAAGCGGGCCAAAATGCAAACGGGGAAAGTTAAGCGGCCAAGCGGCGTCTTACGGGGGGGGGATTACGACAACCCCCTTTAGAAAGCCCCAGCTCCCGCTTGCTTGCATGAATTTTCTCTAAAAAAAAAAGCGTCTTAATCCCGGCCAAGAACAGCCGCAGGCAGTGACACCCACATGCGACATGCTGTATGCCTTATGACGTATGCCGCCTGCCGCATGCCGCATGTCAGATATTCTCGTTTGAGGAGTCGCAAGCTGCTCATCTGTGGTGTGTGTCCTCTTATGCACCTCTTTTAGAATCCCTGTTACTAAACTGAATCCGAAGAACATCCGTTCCTATTCCTTTTGTGGGTATCTATCTGTAAATAATCAAAAGATCTCCATTCCAACAAATTTGTTATTATCATGGAACATAAGACACTCAACACTTCCACGGCATAAGCATTAGTTCGATCAAGTATGAAAGACTCTCACTTGAATTGAGCTTCAGAATCTATATCTATGCCATATTCTATGTCTCGTATGCTACGCTTTTAATATCAGTTTTTTCAGAAGGATACCAGAATTTGGGATGCAGAGGCACGGATCTGCCGCTTAGAAGCACTTGCGGTGGACTATGGATGGACCAACCTCCTCATACTCCTCCTTGGATATCCACATCTGCTTAAACGCGGGCAGCGAGCTGAGGACAGATCCACCCATCCAGGAAGCGAACTGACGATGGGGTGGTGCCATAATCCTAACCCTCATGTTGGAGCAGGCCAGTCCGGCGATCTCCCGCTTCAGACGCTCGACAAAGCAAGGAAGCTTCGTGGTGCCCCCCGACACCATGATGTTGTAGAGCATTTCTCGCCGGACGTTCTCGTCGCACTTATTAATGGATTCATAGACCATTTGGTGTAGGCCCACGGGAGCTCTGCCCAGGACGGTGGGGTCAAACAGTGCTTCCGGGCACCGGATGCTCTGGTCGCCAATGGAAATTACTTGTCCATCTGGCAGAGTAAACTTTTTCTCCAGTTGGGTGCTGAATTCCTCAAGCTCTTGCTGAAAGTCCCTGGCCACGTAGCACAGCTTCTCCTTTATGTCACGCACAATCTCACGCTCGGACATGCAGCTGAAGGAATAGCTGTAGCCCCTCTCCATCAGTAGCTTCATGAGGTACTCCGTGAGATCGCGCCCGGCCCAGTCTAGAACCCCTATGGCATGGGGCAGGGCATAGCCTTCGTAAATGGGAACGGCATGGGAGTACCCGTCGCCAACGTCCAGAACGATTCCTGTGGAGCGACCCGAGGAGTATAGGGCCAACACCTGCTGGCTGGCCACATACATGGCCGGCACTTCCAATGTTTCAAACATGATTTGAGTGGCCTTCTCGCGATGGCGCATGGTCGTCCTGGGCGCCTCCGTCAGCAGAAGGGGGTAGTCCGTGGGAGAAATGCGCAGCTCATTGTGGAGCGCATGATGCCAGACCTTCTCCAATCCTTCCCAGTCGGTGACGAGGCCGTACTGAATGGGATAACTCAGTTTCAGCACAGCGCGCTTGGAGTGGGCCAGGTCCCCCACGTACGAATCCTGCAGGCCAAAGTTCATCATCAAGCCCTGGCGAGGAGTGCCGACCACCGTGGGGAAATTCATTCGAGGCGTTTGATCACCGGAAAATCCGACTTTGCACACGCCAGATCCGCAATCGAGGACCACGGTCGAAACATCGTCGTCACACATGGTGTTGCAGATTTATCATTAGATTTCTATTTAGAGCAGAAGAAACGGAGGAGTTGGTTAAATACAAAATTACCTAAGCAATTATGAGCGCAAGAAATTGAAGCTGGGCTCGGCCTACAGAGCCTTCAACGATGATTTCTGTAAATAAAGGAGCATAGAAGTCCAAGGAAGAGTTATCGCATGTAGCTTCCGAGTATCTCTTATTCAAAGCAAATAGTATCCGTTTTTCGTGAGCCGATATTTCTGAACCTTATCTTTGTTAGACAATCAATCGGACAAGCAAGAGAGGTACCAAGGATTCTCAGCTCACATCTTTTGGCCAACCCTTGCTGTAACCTTGCAGAGGGTATTATGATTTTGCACCCACTCAAAGCATATGAACGATCTGGTCGATCCTGAAAAAACGATTGATATTAGCCTTGTTTTGTGTAGATTTTTTATAACGATCACAATCGGTCACAATCACTATACCATACTATTGCTGCCATTGGAATCGATCAGAAGGTGTATGTATCCTCTCTGTGCACCCCAAAGACTAAAGCTTGTGGTCATTCTGGAGAGTGGGGGAGTGGAGAGGCACTTCTCGCAATGAAAGAAAGCGAGTAAAATTAGAAAAAAGAAAACTTGTAGCAACTTTTTGCCATACGAGCATGTGCATATATATATTTGTATGTATATATCTATGTACTGGCTTTCGCTTGCCTCGAGTTGGCTGACTGGGGCTGTGTATTGGCAGGCTGCAGAGATGGTTGGCTGGCAGAATGGCAGGATAGCTGCATCGGTGGCATTGGCATGTCTTGTGTCGGCATGTGTTCAGTATCCTCCACCTGCCGTTCCACTGCTGTTCTACTTTCCACTTGCAGCTCTCGTAACTTTTGCTAGTGCGGCGACATCTGCCAATGTCTTGAAAATTGCAACACACACGTACACGTATATGTATACGTATACGTATTGTCTGTGTGTGTGTGTGTGTGTGTGTGGGCACACGCAAAAGGACAAACTCCTTGGCAAAATAATGAAAAAGTAACTCAAAGTCGTATTTGTATTTTCTGCAGCTTCAACTTGCTCTGTCTGTAGGTCTGTCCATCTGTCTATCTGACGCTCTGTCGGCCTGGCTCTCCCACTCCTACACTTTGCCATCTCAAAGTCGAACTCTTCCATCATGCTGCATATATCCATGCTCGAGCAAGTTAAAGGCAGGCTGTTTTGGAAATTGGTGCGAGTAATTGGTTTGTTAGAACAAAACTTATGGCACAGAACCCACCGCCATCATCCCTTCTCCCAGCTCCATGCTCCCTGTTACCGGCTCGTGGAGTCCCGATATTCCCCCCACTGGACATGGACAAAGTTTGTCGGGAACCTCACCTGGCAAACGACAGGCAGAAAAAGCACACGGTGAAAACGGCGACAGAGTCAGAGCAAGAGATGAACGAACGAAGAACGAAGGACAGACGGACACTCAGACAGACAGACAGACAGACAGACAGACAACATAATAATAATCTGCATGCCAGGCTGAGAAACTTAAAAACATGTCACAGAGTTTTCGGTTTACAGATTTTCGCAAGCGCACAACTTTGCTTTTGCATTCGGTACGAGTACAAGTACGGGTCGGGTTTGGGTCTCTCTCCGTGTCAGTGTCCGTGTCCGTGTCCTCGTTCGGGTCGTGGGACCAGGCCACCCATGGTGAGTCGAGATACAGATACACGTCTAACATGTCACTGGCACACACGATGTAAGCTGTAGCTAGAGCAGGGGAGGGTGGGGTGGGGAGAGGACCTTAGCACAAAGGTTAAAAAGCAATTTTTCGAAATGTCAGCATACAAAATTTCATTACAAATTTGTTTTACTTTTTTTCAGATATTTGTTTCTTTTCAAGTTCATTGTAGCCGTGCCACGCAATTGCGGAAATGTTCCAGTCCCACTGTTGGACAATGACAATGCCAAAGAATGTTGTTTCCAAGATGTAGTAGTACTAGTACTAGTGTTTAGTGTAGTGTTCTATGAACGAAGATAATGAGAATAGGGTTGAAAAACCCTCAACTACTGAACTACTCAAATCTTAAAATCTACACATCAACTCCTACATAAGTACATATATCAGTTATAGTAACCATTTAAGTGTCGCTTTTATGTGTCGGACAATATCAATCATAGAGAGTAAAGTTAGACAGTCTAAGCATTTTATTTCCAGGGAAATGGGTTTTCAACGATCGAAAAAGGGAAAAAGGAAGACAAAAAGGGAAATTTATGGATATTAATAACAATAATACGGAATACTGGTATGCATATGTACATATGTATGAATGTCCATATATGTAAAGTGCCCAAAAAACCGCACACACATAAGACACAGTCCTTGGACATAGGCATAACCAGCATAACCGGCATACCAGGATGCAGACACGGAATTGGTACTTGGGTTCGGGCCGGGTAAGGAAATCCACGTTTGAAAAGGAGTTGCCTTGCTAAACATTTTGAAACGCCTTAAGCTATTTAAAAATTACATCACTCGAGTTAATCCTAGAGAGGGAGGGAGAAGAGGGAATGTTGGACAAGGAGATGGGGGTTTGGTTGGGTGCTGGAGGCTGGGGGCTGTTGGCTGGAAGTATGTTCTGAGATGCACGATTAATGGCAACGAGGAATGTAATGTAGCGAATATGCGAGTTGCCGTCCTGATTTCAAATGGGATCCACAGCTCTCCCCTATTCCTTTTCCTTTCCCGTTCCCGGTTCTTCCAAAGAAAACAAAAACAACGCTTTTTCCCGACATTACAGAAGAAAGCGGAACGGAACGTAAGGGAACAGTTCAATGGTCGACCGCCGGCACTCGCCTTATTTAACCATGCATTGGGTCAACCGGAGTCGGAGAAGACGACGCAGACACACACTGAGCCTGAGACTGCGGTCTGGTTGGGCTCCAGGCTTGGGTCTGGGTTCGGACACGAGGCCTTTTCCTGGGAGTAGGATGGCGGTTGGCAGACGGCCCTCGACATCATCGAGAAACGAAAACAACTCAAGCGAAAATACAATCATATTTTTATTGCCGGCTGGTTGGCTGCATGTCGATGTCGAGCTGGGCACAACTAAGCGTACAGGACACATCGCCCAATGGCGGATGTGGTATGGTACAGTTCAGGAGGTACAGCGAGCGCCCTCGACAACCAATTCCCGTTTGCTCGCTCGTTTAGTCGATTATTCTTGGAGGCGTTTTTCTTAATAGAAACAAAGAAGAACGAAACCAAAATAAAATAACAAAAACAATGGAAGAGCAATAACAGTCAGCACTCAAAGGGCGCTTCAATGGGTTGGTTGTGGATGGGTTTTGGTCTGGGTCATGGACAGGGACTGTGACTGGGACCAGGTTGGGTTGGGTCACCAAGTGAAATGAATTAAAACTGAATCAAAACATCTGGATGGACGACCATAAGACAACAGAAAAGAGAAGTGAGAGAGAGAGAAGAAATATTTATTTGCAATCGAAATGCGAAAAGTGTGAGTGGATAGGGGCGTAGCCACGTAGGGAAAAGACGTTGCGAGCTTAGGGGACCCCCAAGCTCAGCGGCCACCAATACCAGGTGTTGATCAGCAAACCATAAATTATACTAATGAAATTTTTTTTTTTTAAATCAACAAGTTTATACTTTTGTTTTATATGCCAGCCTGTAAAATGGTGTACAAAACAGATTAAGAATATGGGCACTTTCGCAATAAAAAAAAAAATCCCAAAAATATATAAAAACCGAATACCGAATGGATAAAATCCATAATTGAGCGCTGATCTAGTTTTCCTGGCGATTGATTTCATCCAAAGGTCTAAACAAAGAACTTTTGAATTTTCTATCCCAATGTTAACTCCAGGTAGCCTTCAGTCTTCACCCTGATTTTTAGAACTGTGTTATTTGCATATAAAAATAAGAAATAGCTTCACACAAGCCACCATCCTTGATGTGATTCTCTGAATAGGACACAACCTCTCACTTGTGTGATTTCCCTGTAAGCCGACAAATCGGCTTAGATGGACTGGACTGCAATGAGGAGTACGCCAACCCAACGACTGGCCACTTACTGGTTTCATTTTCTGCCAGGGCACTCTTCCTTGTACGATTCTTTTTACGAGCACACTGCTGAACTGACAGTTGAACTGACAATCTGGAGGACCAAGTAACCGCAAGCAACGAGCGGCCTTTGTGATGCAAAGCGCAGTGGCAGCCCAGGCCCAGCCGCATTGCCACGCCCATTGAGCTGACAAAGGCCAGGTGCCACAGGGCGGATAGGGGCGACGGAGACGCCACCCCATGGAACTCTATAAATTGTAAAACTATTTTCAATAACAGCACACAACAAGGATGCTCCTCGGAGCTGAGGTTTCTGATATTTTGCCTTCCATTCTGACACGACACGACCCAACGACGAGCTGTCCAAGACGAAGTATGGGATGGGTCTTGGGCGAACTACTGAGGGATAAGGGTAGGGTAACTTCCCAACAATCGGGTTTCGACTCTGGCTACGGTTCCTTCCATGCACCTGCTCCAGCAGATGGTTTTTGTCTTTGCCGGCTCTCGACTTTGGGCAACTTCTTGAAAATACTCTTTTGCGGAGGGGTTTGGAAAAGTCTAACAAAGTTTATTCTTTGGGTTTTTTCGGTTGTGGCTGTGGCTATGGCGTGTTCTGTTTTTTTGTCTTTTCGTAATTTAGCATATTCCTTGCAGCACTTGTTGTCCTGTCCTCCGTCCTTCGTACCGTACCGCTGCTATTCTTTCAGCTCTCTGTGTTATCTGCTGTGCTCTTAAGTTTTGCTTCACCGTTTGCGGTGTGCAAATGCAAATTGCTTGGCTTGCATATTTTCTTCTTCCAAAGAGACAGGTGGGTATGGTATGGATAATGGTGGCGCGGCTGGATGGTATGGGAATACGAATAGAGCTGATGTAGCTAAAGTGCAGCCAGGCGCTCTGATCCTTCCATCTCAGAGCCAAGTGCATAAGTGGCTTCTTTCTTCGTGGAATCATTTCCGAAGTCCGAAGCCTTTGATTCGATGGGTTTCATCAAAGACTATACATTACTAAGATATTCCATCAGGAACCAATCCCATTTTCATTTTCGGTCGAAGCTTCTTGGTAAGGGGCGCGCGGGTCTATTTCTTCAATTCTCTTTTAGGCCCTGAAATGCTACGAAAAATAGCCGAAATGAGAATTGAAAGCCCGCGCTCTCTCTCTGTACATGGGACGTAGCGATAAGACCCGCAATAGAACCGGTTTTCGGTCGCTCATGCATGTTATCTTGTTATTGTATAGTTCTTACATTTTCTTTTAGGCTCTCCCTCCTTTGGCAAGGCCCAGTTGATCTCACTCACTCAATAACATATGTAAGTGCATATGTATTTATATATGTATATACATATATACAATCTTTCGCAATAACTCACTTAGTCACAGCTTGACGCATCCATTCCCTTCACTCACTGGCTAGCTTACTCTCTTATTCATTCATAGATTCTACCATTTTATCATCCTCCCATCCACCCCAGTAGCGTAGCTAGGTATTCCTTGGCCATTGACTGCCTTTGGTTCTTCCTTGGATTAATGTTAGGATTAAGATCATATACTTTCTATATGTATCTATAGCTCCTATTTGTATGTCCCTTTTATTACATTTTTCAATATTTATAGTCGAGCCTGTGGACATACATACATACTAGTATATGCAATCACATATGTATGTAAAATATTGTACATATGTATGCCTCTATCGTTTCCAATCTGTTGCATTCAAAACAGAATCTGAAATGAACATAATTTATCACTTATTGAATCAGGCGAAACTTCGTTACGGCTTGACAACCCCTCGTAGAGCATCCTAGCGCATCTCCCAACTCCCATTGGGAGTCTACTCCCGTAGAGGGGTTTGTCGTTTAAAAATCGACCCACGTAGAAAGATTACATGAACTCAAAAAAAAAAAAAACTACTACTGTCAGCTTAAATCAGGGAACTTTCCATCATTTCAATCGAACGAGGAACCGGAAACGTCGCCAGAGAGAGGAACGGAGTGTATTGGATCCTGGGTGTAGATTTGATTTGGGTGTTGGCGTCTAGTAAATCCATTGGGGATATAGCATACCCTGACAAGCATATACAAGAAAGAGAGCCCGGCCCCCAACCAGATCTAGAGGAATGTTTTCCTATTTTGCGATTGTCCAAATGCGCCTTTTAATGTAATCTCTTACGGATTTGTTTTGACAGGAGTGCCGTGCCGTTCCCGCTTCCGTGCTCCACCGTCCGATGCGATGTGTGCGAATTCCTTTTTTATCCAATGCATATGAAATGGGTGTGGATAAGTCCTGGCTATGTCTGACTGAACCGGATGGTGGGGGAGGGGGGGCGTTGGGTTGAGCACCCCATCGCTGTGGCTACAGAGTTCCAGGGGAGGGCTGCTCCTGCTCCTGCCAGTTGGGCGAGTGTGTGGGGAAGTGAGTTTATGCTTTGGTATACTTTTATCATAAATATTAAATTACTCAAGCGTATGTAATTTATTATATTAGATTTGAAATGGTTTCCTTCCCCCCGTAGTCAACGTATTCGACGGAATTTGACGGGAGGGACCCAAAAGCTGAAGACAATGGTTGAGCATAGTGCCTTTAAGATATCTGATCATCAAATGTACATATCTACTGTAAACGAAGGAAAATGTGATCTGATTGGAATTTACGACAGTGTGACCTGCTTACCAATATTCAAACTATTCCGAAGGGTCATAGGCTTATAAGTCTGTCAACAATCAATACCCTATCAGCAGCCTCCTACCTTCACCACCAACAGAATTCTTCTGAATGACCTTTCCGTTACGAGAATATAAACCCAAGAGGTTTGTCTCATGTACGTTTTATATTATTATTATATCAATTTCAAGTCGCGTATGCTTCAATTGACTAGTGAACAAAAGTTCTCTCAAAGGAAAGCAGTGGCTAATTTGGCCAAACTGCAACGCCTTGTCTGTGCCATCACAGGGGCAGTGCTTTAGATGCCACAGGTATACATCCATTACCCATTTGGATAAGGACGGATGCCTGGCTAACTAAAATGTGAAAAACTTACAGGCCATCTAATGAATGGCTAAAATCTTCATGATGCACATATCTTGTGAGTCTCCTACGACCAAACCTTCTCAAACCTTTTCTTTACAATAAGTGTATTCAAGCATTAGATACTAATGATATATTTTTTGGAGCCAACTTATGTTTACTCACCGTAGAAAGAAGAGAAAAGTGCCAGGGCAGCAAGGCAGCAAGTAACAATATTATTATTTTAGATTTACAAAAAGCCGGAAAGCACACTCGTTACACTAATAACTTTAGACTAACAACTGACTCATATAAAAATAAACACAAAGTTAGTTATGAGAAAATCAAATGACAGGAAATGGTAATGTTCCTGTATTTAATGCATAACCGATTATTAAGAACTGAACAAGTAGGAGAAATTACAACAACATTAATTTTGGGATCCATCAGGTAATTTTATGGTAATATTCACGCGAACTAATCTTGTAAGACAAATTCAACGTCCAAATGAATATGTTCAGTGTTTGCAAACCTTAAATCGAATCATTGGGGCTCAGAATGTTGCTTTTGAAAATCTATTGAGCGCTGAGAGAGGACCGAACCTTCGCTTTCCTCTAGCGTTGGTTATGCCTGGTATGTATGTAAGTCCTTGAATAGAGCCAAGTGGAGGCGCTGATGCTGATGCAGATCCACATACTGCAGATAGAGAGAGAGAGAGAGAGCTCTCATTCCACGGGCCGCTCTGCGCAATGCGATTTACATATTACTAAAGAGAAAATCTGCTTTGAATAAACTTCTCTCTAGCCGGAATATAAGTCCCTGTCTCTGTGCTCAGCCTTCTCGTCCTTCTCCCTTTATCGGGTGTGTGCAGTTTTTAAATTTGCAAACATGAGCATGTAAATTTGCAATGAATAAATTAACCAGAGTCAACTCCACTTCAGAACCTCTCTAGCACTGTGATGCGTTCCTCTGACGATGCTCAACACTTTCGCTATTTATTAAAATTTAAATTGACTCTGCCTCCGCCGTCTCTCAAGCTCATTCCCCATCCAAGTGAGTGAGGTAAGACAGGGATTCGGGCTCGAGTCCGAGTTCGAGTTTTATCAATAATTTGCTGCAGAACTTATTCTAGTCGCCTCCTTCTTGATTTCCTTTTTAATCACTTTTTATTATGCGCTGTTAGGGTGTGGGATGTGGAGTTAACAAAGTGTTTGCCAGAGGCTCGGCAAAAGAAAACAATCATGTGGCCAGGAGATAGACAGGCCGGCCCTGGCAGCCTGACAACAGAAACTCTTTTTGCAACATCAACAATAACCAGACCAGCGTTAGAGCAAGAGGAAACCAGAAAAAAGGTCCAGCTTTTTTGTGTGGAAGCTGTAGGCACCCTTGTATGTACTACGTACCATCGTTCTTATGGCAGTGATCCGATGTAGAAAATTATGTTATCAAAAGTATATTTTATGATGAAGGTTAAGTATCGGTAAGATTTATTTTACCTGTATTTTAAACTAAAACCGAACATTGTAAAGAATGCTCCGTAAAAACCTACATATGTAAGGTTGTGATTTTTATTGAACAGATTATGGAACAGATTTTCCGATTATATAATATGAAAACATTTAGATAAAACCTTTTTTACTATATTTTCACGTTTAAGCAATTATTATCATTAATATTATTATCATTCAACAATTACATATACCCTTTGCAAAGGGTATAGAAAAATACAAGTATTTGTGGAGAGGCGGCTGATAGGAGGCAACAGACATCAGACAGACAGATGGAAGACGTGGCCAGAGTAAGAGTCAGAGCCAGAGTAAAAGCCGGATTCGAGATTGGGATTGGGATCGGGATGGAAAAACGTCAACAGCAGGAGTAGCGGCAGTGGCAGTGGCAGCAGCCACGGCGACAACGATACGACAACTTCAGGACGAATGCTGGGGAAAAACTTCTGCCACCCATCACACACCCACAACAACAGCAACAGCAGCAGTGGCAGCAACAGCAAAAAAGAACACAACGAGCCGAGAAAACTCAATTAAACTTTTGTAATTACAGCTAAAACGGAAGAAGATATTTATCCAGTATAATTGCATTGAAGGCAAATGAAAGAAAAGGAAAGGAAAGGCGGAAAAACAGAAAAACACACACACACATACTTGGAGACCATACACCATAGACAAAGAGTGGGAGGAAGAGAAAAAAGAAAAACCAGAAACCAAAGCGAAAGCGAAAGAAACCAGAAAAAATAAATAAATAAAGGATGCCAGGAGACAGAACAGAACAGATAGATGCTGGTAATGGGGAGACAAGAGAGGAGACAGGAGAAAAACTTAGATCATTCCATACCTCGCCTTCACAGACAGCCAGAGGACTGACACTGTGGAGTGTCCCTGTCCCTCTATGAATGAAGGAAATCCTCAATCAATTGTTATGACAATGGGAGTTAAACTAGTTTGAGAGGAAGGACAAGGACTCTGTCACAGAATTAGACACGAGTGGTTACAGTCCATCAGCATTCGAATGCGGATGCGGTATCTCAAGGTTACTACGAGTATCATTCCATTCCTTCATCTACTTTCTGAATTTACTGAGAATTTCTCTTTCTAAGCATTGCTTTTCATCAACTTTTATTAGTTCAGGCATTCATTTCAAGCACTTATTAATCATTTGTATTCTTAACAAAAATTAGTGGATAATCATCACATCACATCGCATCCCTTTCTTTCATTTATTGTATTATTCATCTCATTCACTGTTTCAGCTGCTTCTTCGAGTATGTTGCCATTGTTCCTTTAGCTTGACGACTTCCAGTTATTGTCGTTCAATCGTTCAAAGTGTGCGCTCAATTAATTTCAAGAATATACAGAAATTACATTTTAATACCTTGAGCACCAGATTCCATTCCATTTAATTTGATTCGGCATACATTTCTTGTATGCCGAATTACGAGTATCATTGAATCGAAATGTAAATACAATTTGCCAGAAATTGCAATTGTGATATTAAAGCCATCATTGTACTCATACGAGCACTCTCTCCGTCAATAACAGGGCTTACATTGTTTTTAACTTTATTCTGTTTCTATTTTCTTTCGGTTTTGGCCACTGGAAAATGCCCTGAATCTCGCCCCTTGTCAGCTGTCGGTTTGTCTGCTGATGAAGACATTAATTTGATTCAAATCGCGTCAACTGAACACAATCGAAGTGCTAATTGCGCTTCTTTCAATGCACAATCTGACACCGAGAGACCCACGACCCTGGACCCGACCCAGGACTCCGAAGTCTCAGTCCATCCTCAATGAACGCTAACAAACAGCAGGCAACAGCCAATCACCTCCCTAGAATCCGGACTATTATGATTCTGCTTTGCTGCTCCTGCTCTTGCTTCAACTCCTGGTTCTTCTCATTCTACTGATGACGATGATGGTGACGATAATAGGGTGGCCAGGTCAGGTAAATGCAGTGCTCGCCTTGTCCAGTCCAGCTCCGAGCTCGGTTAGGGTTCGGGTTCGCTTCATTATGTATGCGCGACACAGACAATGGGCCACTGATGGACGTGCTGCAGTTGCATCAGGAGAAGGAGCTGGTCGCAGGTCTGGGAAGCAGAGCAGTAACAGTAGCCATCCCACGGCCACCACAAAAACACAGACGTTCCATTTCCATACCATCCCATGTCGGAACAGGAGCTGCTTTGGTGTTTATGTAATACCCTTGCGGAGGATACAACAAAATTTCCCTAAGTCTTCTACCAAATGAATCTTGGTCGATCCACGTATTCCGGATCAATTTTAGTCGCTGAAACGCTATTTTCCTTTTTTTTTCTCCAAATTTTTTATTATTATTGTTTAAGCACATAGGTTTCACCAAAGACTATGCAATACCAAGATGCTGCATGAGCGACCAAAAAAATATTTATTTTACACTGAAACCATTTTTACTTTGAGTGCTCATATCTCCTAAACTAAAACTATCTTGAAAATTAGATTCGATAAAGCAACTTCCTCAGGGCTTATCCGGCCTATCTGGACCTATTCTCGTCGTCAGACTTCATATTCCGTTGCTGTATTCTGTCGCTCGACTCGACGCGGGCCGAGGCATTGACGAAGCCGAAAGCATAGGCAAAGACTAGCCTAAAAGAAAATGGAAGAAATACGACGCGCGCCCGCGCTACTCAAATATCATATAACAATAATTAAATAATAATTATAACAAAGCTTTTTAAAGATTTTGTTATTTATATTAATTTTAAGTCCGTGAGTCTATTCCATTGATCGATAAAAAGTACCATTTCTTTAGTTTACTCACACAAAATAATATATTATTACAAAACTATTTGACCTAGAACGCTTATGATGGATTTTGTTAATAAAGAATAAAGTCCTGAATAATGAAAAAGACATTTTTCTATATTCACTTGTACTTTCATTTAAAAATGAAATTTCATATAGAGAATTCCTGAGTCTATTCAATTGATCGGCAGTGTATGTATAAATCAAACGCCTAGGAACAGAACACTTGTAGGTTCAGAAACCTAAAAAGTTTAGGTATGATTCTTAATAATAATATATTTGAGCTCTGCTAGGATATCTAAAGGTGCGGCCTCACAACATTGATGTTTTCTTCTTGTTGCTGGTGCAATTTGCTGTGACATTGACTGAATAAAATGTTTTGCAAATCTGAAACGTTGTCTATGGCTCTGGAATGTGTGTTCGCCAATCGGTCTGTTCTCCGTTCAGGAGCCCTCTGTGCCTTATGGTCAGTTCCGTTGAGGCAACACCTTGCATGTAGAGCAGAGTCAAATTGCCGAGCATGCGGTGAAAGTTTATCTATTACCCTGCCCGTCCAGCCTGTTAAGTTTCCTATTCAGCCGATGCCTGCAACTCTCCCCCTCACCACTTTCCGTTTCTGCTGCCTATGTGTACTCGTATTTTCCTATATGGTGGATGAGAGTTTGTGAGACTGTTGTCCGAGCCACAAGTGACAAGAAGCGTTCCTAAGAGTTCTGTTCTGGTCCAGTTTGGTCCGGAGCAAGCCGTAAAGCCACTTGGTAACCACTACCCCCCACCACCCCTCGCAACCACTTGCTGCGGTCCATCCCCGGAGCACTCCGGCAGAGGAAATAAATGCGCCTGCAGTTCTTCATCTTTAAAATAGACGACGCTTTGTGCTCTGTACCACTCTCCACCACAGTCGTCCACGCTTCAGGTTCCCGTCGGCAAAGGGAGAACGGCATCATCAAAGTGACATTGGCAAAGTTATTTGGCCGCTTGTAATTTAATGTGGGCGTTACTACTCGTATAATAACTCCCATTTTGTGCTCTCTATCGCCCATTCCCAGGCCCATTCTACGAGGAATAGCCATACCGATGTGATATTGCCCTCTTTTCGCATCTCTTTTCCTTTACACAGATTGGATTTGAAAACGCAATTTTCGCTTGCACAACATTATTTTAATGTCATTTTTCTTTACTGATATTTTGTGGGGTTTATTGGGCTGGACCCAAATTGCATACGAGAGTCGATGGGTTCAGTAAACAATGCATTGGAAATGTTTTTTACCAGTCATTTATGCGGGGACAAGGCGACAAAACAGCGACAGGTAACTAATATTATCTTAGAAAATTAATCAAACTATCAAAATATTACTATGTAATTAAACATTGGGCTATGATCTACTAGTACGTGAAAGCTCTTTACATCGGAGCAAACTGTGATCAGAGCCACCCTAGGCAGAGGTCATAATTTTTGTGCAACGTTTTTATACGTCCTTATATATTATACATATATTTAAGTGCACACATTAAACCCGATACGGATACGTAGCTATTTCATGGACCGCACAGCGCAGTCATTACGAGTATTATGAATACGCGGCTCTATTCAACTTTATAAGCTTTATGCATATAAAATAAAACAATGCCACAGAGGACGGAGTCCAGAACCTTTCGTCCTAAGTGCAACAGCATCGACAGCGGCGTTGACTTTCATCCACTTGCACGTTAATGGGGCCAGGAAAATGTTTTCATAAAGGCGGCCTAAAACCTCAGCGCCGACCCCACAATTTATGAGGCATTCATGTCAGTTGCCTGCTCATTAAATCCCTGTTTATATCACTCGCCCCACACACTTCACCCACTTGCATGTGGCTATCAAAGTCGATTACCTAGAAAATTCTCTGCCTGCCACAATGCCAATCGATTACGTTGCATTAGCCGTCAGAGCCTCACGGAGAGTGTGGAGTTCATAGTGCAAAGTCCAGAGTCCAGAGGCAAGAGCCCGTTTCGGTACCCCAGTGGCACTCGGTTGATTGTCAAATTACATTATCTTGCTAGAGGAGCGTCTGTGTTTTGACAGCTGTTTTTGGTTATTGACATTCGCTTCTTGACAAAACAACCACACAAACACTCACAAAACACCCATATGTCGAGTACTTAGTCCCGACACAGACACAGGCCCAGACCTAGACATTCATCCAGACATAGTATATACATACACTGCCAGCCTCTACACTGACAGAAGTAACGAGAAGTGAAAACAACGATGACAAAACGCATCGCCATAGCATTTTATACTTTGGGATATTTTTCTGAGTACAGAACAATCGGAAGTCTGTCAGCCAACAGCGTGTGCAATATCATGAATGAGTTTTGCAGAGCATTCATAAACGAATTCCCAGAGGATAGTCCACAAACTATCTCACATCCGAGATTTGCGCTGAGACAATTCTGAATTATCAGTTTTGTGTGTTTTGTTTTTTCCTATTTTCTTGTCTGGGAAATTTGCGGAACGGCAAAACCTTACGGACCATCTTCGAAATTGATGGTGGCTGAAAAAATGTTCTGAGTTGTAACGTTTATTCGTTAATATTTGTAGAAAATATGCATTCGATTTTCCATCTATTATTGTCGACCTTATATGTTTGCTCCACTCCCAAGATTAGCTGCGTAATCTTGATTCCAGGTTTCCGTTTTCGCTCAGTGCAGTATGCTACTCTGTCTGCGGCAAAATGTCTCGGAGTGACCAGTGACCTCCTACTCCTTTCGACCTTATCAAACGAGATGTTTAGGGCGAGCAAAATGGGCTGCGTTTTTATGGCACCAGTGTCAGGCATCAAAGTTAATTTCAGGCAGGCCAGGTTCAGGGCAGCAAGGTTCCCAGAGAACTCTTGCTGCCAACTATTAGTGAAGCTTACAAAGTTCTCCGGCTCCTGCAAAGTTCCTTTAGAGGCTTCTGGAAAGGCCAACCGCAGGAAAAGTTTTCCATTTGCCTGGACAACAAAATCAACTGCATAGGAATACGAGTAAGAGTATGTGCCCGCAAAAGACACTGCCACTGCCATTACGTACGAGAAGTTCAATAATAAAAATCACTTTTATTGCTCAATATATTCTAATTACGATCATTTGCACGTAAACGCAACAAAACTTGACTAATTTCAGGTGATTGTCCAGGAAAAGAGCCACAAGGAGTCACCGCCACCCTTCTGCTGTTGTTAATTCATTAAGTGTGGGACACTGCGCTGCGTGTTCTGATAAGGTGTAATTATTCCATGAATATCGAAAAAGTGCGGTCCAAGAAGAAGGCAGAGCTACGTCTGGCGTGGATATCGTCTGAGAGGAACGGGGGAGACCGTAGCGTTGGGGTATGTGATTTTATGGTAATTTGAGTATAATGAAAACTAATAGCCACACAGCAAGCTGATGACGCTTTTGTCAGCCTCCAACAGTTACCAGTCACCAGTGAAGTCCACCCAAGCCCACACCCACAAGCCTACCCGATCCCTGGCCATTGTCCCTCCATATAGAGGCAAATGGAATTTGCAGCTGACTGAGTAAACAACTGGTGTGGCACCTGATAATGATTGTATATTGTACACACTCTATTCAAGAGAAATCCCAGCTCGTATGGCTCTGTTTACTGAATTTGAGAACCCTTAGAGACCGAGCTCCCGCAAAATGGTCTGAAAATTTTTGATGGATGAGAGAACGCTGACTAATTAACTTTTAACCGATCAAGGCGGAGTAGGCCCTGCTTGTGGTGATATTTGGTGATCGTCTCTCGAAAGAACAATACGCGTCCCAGCTTGAAAACTGAGAACCATATTCAAATTCAATCCAAGTTTCAATCCATCGCTAAAGCTAAAAATTAGACATATTTGTGGCGCTCCACCCCCCAGTTGATTGCGCAAAATAGGAACAGAAACAGCTTTGAATCAAATCTTAATTTTGTGAGCATTTAGTAAGACAATCAGACCAAGTTAGCAGCACCTCGCGTATGTGTAAGCAACAGGCGGAAGCCACAGTTGGAAGCCACAGTTGCAAGCTACAGTTGCAAGCGAGCGTCAGTTGAGAGAAGTAATCGGTAAAATCGTGTCCAGAGCGAATTTCCAAGGAAAGTATTTAAGCTACATTTAATTTACGTGTATTACTAATAAAATATATTTCTGGAATACATTTTATAGGAGCTACAAAAAATGGCACTCAGAGTCAATTTGCCGAAGAATTGCGACAGACGCAAGAGAGTGCAATTTCTGCTGCCGGAGCCCCCGAAGAAACGTACTCTGGGGCAAATGCTCTTCGATCGCGAAAAGGGAACCATCATGGGCCGAACTCCAAAAACTTGGGCCAAAGTCATAGCATTCTACGCGATCTTCTATGGTTTTGTGGCCGCCATGTTCATCATGTGCATGAAGGTTATGCTCAACGGTATCAGTATGACGGAGCCCAAGTTGCAGCTGGAGAAGTCGCTAATAGGTCGTTATCCCGGACTGGCAGCTCGCCCGCAGAGCTTTCAAATCGAGGGCCCCATGGTTATTACGATTGATTCCGAAAATCCAAACAAAAACGATAACTGGATTGAGCTCATTGACGATTTCCTCAAGGAGTATGAAACCAATAACACTAATGTGGACCGTGTGAAGTGCGACTTCGGAGATATCCACAGAGCTAGTGATGTGTGTTTGGTCGATATGGAGTTGTTTGGGGGCTGCTCAAAGGCCAATAGCTATGGCTACAAGGCGAACGAGCCCTGCATATTCATCAAGCTTAACAGGATCTTCGGGTGGAAGCCCGAAACATACGATTTTCCTATCAAGGAGATGCCAGAAGATCTGCAAGCCCACATCAACGAGACCGGTTATGAGAAGCGCCAGCAAATCTGGTTAAGCTGCAGTGCACGTCTAGGTCTGGGCATCAATAGGGAGAACTTTGACAACTTCAGCTACTCTCACCGCCGTGGCTTCCCCGCCTTCCATTATCCCTATCTGAACCAGCCTGGCTACTTGAGTCCGCTCATCTCCGTTCAGTTCAAATCACTAAAAAAAGGTCAGATCTTGGACGTCGAATGCCGTGCTTGGGCCAAAAACATCATATACAAAGGCACCGTTAGCGATCGCATGGGTTCGGTGGCCTTCAAGATAATTGTGAACTAGCAAAAGACAAGAGACCAGAACTTTTATATACACATGTATTTCTAATATTCATATTCATATTTTTCTTGTATGTCCTACAAATATTTGCTCTCTTATTCAATTTTTAAAATGAAGATTGTGAACCCAGCTTAATTCTTTTCTGTGAATTTGCAAATCATACGAGTATATGCGCATAATTGATATCTTTGATGTTTGAAATGTTTAAAGCAAAATTTCGTCTAAAGTTCATGGCATATTATATGCTAAATATGCTAAAAATTGTGTTTGTAGCGTGTATCAGAATTTTCTGTTTCTATTGGTAATCTATTCATTGATTGAAAGAGTTTGTGCATCATTTTTCATGAAATATAATCTCGTATCTTTTAAGAAAACATAATTTGTAGTTGCCTAAAGTTACAGTTCCTTTTTGGCAAATCCACAGACACAAAACTGTAACAATTCGGAAGATGCCAGGTGCAGGATTTCAATGCTTTTCTGTCCTTTTGTGTGTAGGCAGCATGCAATCGGCAAGGCCAGGCAGCACCTTGATACGTTCCCATAACTCGCGTGGCATGCAGCCGGCATTTGTTATACGCCACACCAACCGCACATGCAAGGATGCACAAGGATACTCCGAGCATCCTTCAGGGTATCCTATAGAATATTGCACTTATAAGAGCATAGCACGCGACTATCTACTATGCTGGAGCATTACTAACTGGACACGAATTCAAGCTTAAAGATTAATGCCGTTCGAGAGAGGGGAGAGGTAAAGAGTGATATTAAAGTAGCTCTGGGCAGAGTGGGGCCTGACATTGCGATTGGAATCGGGATTGGGCATGGGGCATTTTTGGTTGATTAACTTTTGAGATGAATATCAATATACAATATAGAATATCCGAACAATGTAACAATACTCCGCCGCACACACAGAATGGGGAGCATAGTATAAGCAGCAGGGAGGACAGAGCAGAGATACACACATAAGTGTGGCAATATGACCGAAGCATTTTCATTATTGTCTGGCCAACTGATTTATGCCAGTCAATTCGCTTTCAGCAGACAAACCGCCGGAAAATGAAACCGATGAATCAGTAGTGCGGCCAATTCGGAATACAAATGCCATGGAGCACCAGCTGTTGACCCTCTCATTTTGCTTCGGGGCCAACCTCAGCCCCAGCTACAGCTACAGTTACAGTTACAGCCTCATCTGTGCCACATCCTCAGCTCCGTCGGCAGCAAAGTTAAACGATAAACTTTTCCCAGTTTGGCCTTGACTTGAAACTCAATCATTGTGCGGTGTTTGAACAGGGGGCCAGGGCAAAGAGCCAGGGCACAGAGGCAGCCGAAGTCACTGGCAGTCAAACGAGACGACCTGAAATATGTCCGAGGGAGTGTCGAAAGAGTGTCCGCCAGGACTCGATATTGTCCAAGGGGCAGAGAGTGATAAACAGACTCCAGGTTTCAGATGTTTAAGAATTGTATCTGAAGGAGCCGAATTAAGCCTAAAAATTACCGCAAGAGTCGAAGAATTATTTTAAAAGTTTCAGACGGAGCTGAAAGAAGTTTAAGAATTTTCCTCTTCCTTAATTAGCGTCTAGAAATACACATTTGGTAATTTCAAAGGCAATTAGAGAACGTTAATGAGGTCCCAAAAATATACTGGTACTACTTTTTTTTGTCTAACCTTTCATGGTAGTCCGACCCATCATCTGAATATTATATGAACGTAGTGCACTAGCAAGTACGAAGATTATTGTTATATGACGGATCGCTGATCTCATAACGGCTGGCTGGCTTCATTTTTCGCTCTCCACACTTTCCAAACAAACATTTGTGCAACCACACTATAAAACGATGACGGGGCACCACCGCTCACTCGATAAATCGATGATGGAGCATTCCCGAGAGCCCCTTGAGCAGGGCTTATCGCGAATCGCGAATCGCCAGTGAATCGTATCAGTCGCTTATAGAGCTTCGTGGCAAACAGGTGATTCAAGTTCTTTTCAAGAGCAATGGGCAACAATTCTATTAAATCTGACTACCTCTTGTTCGGAGCCGATATGGAGAACGTGGCTGCCGGCGTGGCCATCTTTCGTCCTCCGCTGTTTGAGCGCGACCGCGTCCCCGAATGGTTCGCAGACATGGAGAAGCACTTCGAAACCTTTCATGTCACCACCGACGCTGCCAAGTGCGCCATGCTCATCGATCAGTTCGACTGGGAGATTCTAGACGTAATCGACACCGACTCCTCCTACTCGAACGCAGGCGAGGGCCAGCGCTACCAGGCCCTAAAGACCACTGTCCTCCGCTAAGCTGCAGCTCCCCCTGAAAAGCAAACGAGAGCGATCTGGATCTGGAGCTGAACAATAACAATATAACCCTCCTCTTGCACTCACAAAACGAGCATTCATTTCCCCCATTTGTTTCGTTTGAAAACTAAAATTAAAAATTTCATAAATAAACTGTAATGGGCTTTAAAAGCGTTGGTGAATCGCGGGAGAAAAGCTTTCGATTTTCCAGCACAGAAGATAGGGTGAGTCGACCGCTGGATCCCCAACACAGAAATGAGGGTGCTGCAAACAAACATGTGCAGTCCTATATGATACCCAATCTCGTTGGGATTCCGGTTAGGATCTACAAGTTAATTGCTAGATAAAAATATAAAGCACAAGCTGAATTTTTCAATCAATGTTTATTGTTGCTCTGTGTGGATGTAAGAATTGATCTGAGTGAGTCCATCAAATCAATATGGATATGATATTCGCTGATTAGAGCTTCTACTCTCTCTCTCTCTGTCGCTGTTCTTTCCCCCAAAAAAAATTGCTGATTGATGCAATGGCGCTTTTGGCTCTGGCATTCTCTCCCCCTCCGTGCGTATTCAGCACTTGGCAAGAAAACAAACAAGATAGGCACAAATATCAAGAAAATAATTTGGAATACAGCACATGATGGCAAGCCCTGAATATAAAAACAAAATACATATGTATGTATGTATGTACATAAATATATGCATATTAGTCGTATGTGCGATTATAGTCTATATGAAAGTCCTACATCCACATCCACAGATACGAAGGCGTCGAAACCAAAACAGAAATGAGAACCAAGTGCGTTCCGCTCTCTCGCTCTCTCTAAAATTATCTCTATGCACGAATACTGATGCAGATACAGATACAGGAACGGGGCTGAGATGGAGCTTTGGTATATCACTTTCAGATACGGATGCTGTGTGCTCCCGTGTGAACGCAGCGGGCAAACAGAGCGGAAGAATTCTCGTTGGCTTCTATTTTATCTACAGAGATCCGACCTTATTCACTTAAAATCCTTCTATATTTTCCGCTTGTTCCACGTTGTCTTTTGTCGTGTGTTTCTTGTTTCTGTTGTACTCGTATTTATATATATTTCGCGTTGATTTCGTTGTCTGCCGCTTCGTTCGTGGTCGATCCGCACGAAAGTACGAGTGTGTACATATTATTTTTTGTTGTCGTGACTTCGTGTGTGGTGTCTGTGGGGCAGCACAATAGCATAACAAACCGAATGGTGCAAAGCGGCGTATACGTGTTGCACTCATATGAAAGTGCGTGTAATGAAAGTGTACTCGTAATTTCTTTCGTACTTGTATTCTCTTTTTTTCGGTGAGAGAAAAAGTGTAAGAAGAAGGACAAGCCTTCAAATCAAATTGTATAAACGACCCTCATGATGGGAGATTGTCGATGGGAGATGGTAGATAGTATATGAGAGATGTCCCAATACCTTTCCACCACCTGGCTGGGGGCTGACTTTTGCATGGACAATGTGACGTCACTTCTGTTAATACATACATACATATTTATGTGCAATGTACAATGTATATATATACAAAGATATGTGTATATACATACATACATTCATTTATGAAGTAGAATTCAGAGGCAGAGGAAGAAAAAAATAAAGATGAAGAAAAATAAAAATATAAAGACCGCACAATCATACAGTCAATTTTCGCTGTGTTTTTCGGGGCATTAAAACAAAAGCATTTTGCTACGAAATATTTATTATTGTGTGTACCAATGCGGAATGTGTTTATAGAAGAGACCCCCAGTCCAGTAGTCAGTGGTCCAGTATCCAATGGGCGCAGCATTCGAAATCCGAAAAAATTCACCATCCAATTCCCCATTTTCCACCAACCCCCTTCCCTTTCCACCAACCCCTCTCCTCCACCACTGACTGAACGCTCCCTTAACCATCGCATCGACCCAATTGTTTCTTATTTACCAATTTACCTCACATCATTTTTTTTCTCTGTGTGTATGTGTGTGCTTCTTGTTATTGTTCGAATAGCGGACACGTGCTGAAAATTCTCGTTCCCATTTAAAGCGGATCAATCAGTGATCAATCGGTGATCTCGAAAACGGGGGATCGAAACGCCATATGTATGTAAGCTTCGTGTCATTTCTGATGCCACACTCGAGAAGCACTTATGAACCAGCAGCAGTGGAAACAACAAAAACGCTGAAAAATGGATTTCCATATCGGTTGGATATCAGTTCATTGAGGAAAAAGATCACGTGAATTGATCTTTGCATTCGTATTCATATTCCAATACTTGGCCACCAATCAAATACACAAAACTATCCTTGAAAATAAGAGAATGTTTAGAACTTGAAAGGAGATTAAATGGGTTTTCTGAATAAATCGATGATCCGCTCTTAAATAGCTTACTCATGTAATGCATGAGCAACACTTCTGACGATTAAAATTTGAAGACCAATTCAAGGTTTTATGAAAAATTTTCCGAATCAGCTAAGTCGAGAAAAAATAAAAAGTAGGAAAAAGTGCAATAAGCTTGCTCTTTTTATCGCAAAATGGAATAAGTCTACAATATGTACCAAATAAAAAAGGGTTATCCATCCATCCATTGTCCAGAACAAACGTAAGGCCGCAATCCAAGCACTGTAGTTTACTCCAAAGAAATATTCTAAAGGTGAAACTTTCATAAAATCTAGCTTATTGCTTCGGCTCAAGAACTAAGGTATATTTTTTTTTTGTTAAGGGGGAGAGGTGGCTGTTTTTTGGCACATCGTTTTGGTTTTTGGATCATATCCGGCAATCAATTGACACGCAATCTCGCACAATTCGCCACTTAATTTCTATTTTTAATAACATTAACAACAACCATCGGGCATGGAACAACAAGCAGTGCGAACACGCGGATGGCTGGCACGGGCTTTGGACTGGGAATGGGTATAAGGGGGTATTCAAAGCATTCACAGAAAATCAAGAACCTATTTTTGGTGGCGAGTCTAAGGAAACAACAGAAAGAGCAAAATTCATATTTTTAAAACGTTTGCCCGTGGATTCCCTCTACAGCATTCAGCATTTAGTGTGTGCTTACGAGAAACT